ATATATAAATTAATTTCTTTTTTTTAAATAATTTAATTATAAATAAACCTTTATTATCCTTTTTTATAATTAGACACTTAAAAGTACTTTTTGAAAAGATTTGACCAAATAGAATTTGCTTATCAAAAGTGCAAAATATACTTCTCAAATGAATTGGCCAAATATAAACTGCTAATTTCCAAGAGCACTTTTCAAAAAATACTTTTCAAAAAAAGTAGTTTTTGGACGATCGAGCTCTACGTTTCAATCCCAAACAAGTTGGGCTCGACTATATAAACTCTAACCAGACATGTCGCTTCACTAATTTAAATCCACCTTAGTTCAAAGAAGTGCTTAAGCAAATAAAGTTTTAGAGACTGAACTACGCCAAACATAAACCTTATAGATAGAGTAGCAACAAGTAAAGTTTTAAAGACTAAATTACACCAAACCATAAAATTTATAGACAGAGTAGCAACAATATTGATAAATTGATGCTTGAACAACTAGGGACGAAGGACATGATTGGTTTCTGCAGTAGGTAAGAAGTGTTTCTTGTTCAAGCAAGACCAAGCTTGTGCTTGAGTTCCAAGACAAAACCATAGATCTTGTGAGGATGAGGAAGGGACTTTGAGACACTCTCGCTCTCCATACATGTTTTTGCCCATACCACCAGCTTTGGACACTCTGCTTCTATACTAAAGTTTGCACAAGTCTCATAAGAATAAAACCAACTAGTAAAGGGAACCAAAGCCACATCCACAAAACCCAGATTATCACCACCAAAGTAAGTTTTATTTCCAAGCTCTCCTTCCAAAGTCTTGAGTATTTCTATGAATTCCTTCTTTGCTTCTTCTTGATCTTCACCTTTACCGCTCCACACTCTTCTTCCTGTGCTATATATCTGCATTAAACCAACGTCCATAAGTATTGACAGAATCAGGAATTCTAACAAGGGGATAAAAAAATTCAAATGTGAAACACCTAATATTCAAATGTACGACGACCTTAAACAGCTCGGTGAAACTACACAAGATGAACTTAGTAAAGGTCATGTTACATTGACTGTTAAGTCTTTGTGAGATGTTTATTACCTTCTTGTCAATATAGTCGGCCCAGAATCTGGCTTGTGACCTTTCGTAAGGATCAGAAGGAAGTAATGGACATTTGTCATGCCAGACTTCATCAATGTACTCAAGAATGTTTAGAGACTCACAAATGGCTTTACTATTGTGAATCAAAATAGGGATCTTTTTGTGAACAGGGTTCATCTCCAGAAGCAAAGG